ATCAGAAGCTCACAGATGACTTGCCATGAAGGGTCCATTTTATGCTGGAATAGTTTTGAAAACTGCTGTATTCATAAGCAAATAATCTCATCAGCATTGAGACGTTGCTAATGTGTAGCCACATTGTTTGTGACTTGTCATCTATGTATTAAGAAGGGCTGTTAAAAACTGCCACGATTTATAATGTCTCTTTAAATTGGATTAGCTATCTCCCTACATTGATAATGGTTTAGTCTAATGAGATGAATGAAGCAACAAGTCTGCCAAGCCATTATAGCAAAGCACTGTCAAATGCACATAGGATTTTAAAAACAACAACTGTTTTCAACTATGACGGTCAACTTACAGAGACCTAATGGATATCGGGGGACAATACGCAGCCAAAGTATGCCATGTAGGTTTCCTTCTTTCTTTTTCATGTTAAAAAATGTTTGTCAGTTTTTGAAATAAGACTATAGTCAATATTACCCTTACTATTGCTATTGAAAGCTGGTTAGATTAAGACCTCAACTAATGTATGTATTGAGGAGTCATCCATATAACATATCACCAACTCAAAATAGGTTGAGTTTGGATTTATATCGAGCACAAACTGCTCTAAAACTGCTCATTTGAGATTACAGTGAAAATTTCACTGAGGTTCATTAGATAAAGAACACATACCCAGTGAGAATTTGTCATATACAAACACCTTCATATTATTATCTAAATTATGGAAATTGTTTTTAAAATTTAACACCTAGAAGTATTTTCACAAGTAAAGTGAAAAGTTGTATGTTCTTAGCAAAGCTGTATTGACCTCTTAAAATTTAATTTAGAATACAGATAGATTTTTAAAAAATGTTTTTTTTTTCCCGGTAGCCATGGTAGATTATTTCATCTACGCCAGATTAACTTTCATTCCTGGATGCTATAGAATGTAATTCAATTCAATAGAGTTATAAATTCCTAGCGATAAAATTAGATTGTTATTGCTTGGCTTTATTTTTTCTTATATTTCTGATGGATAAATGAACTAAAATATTGCTTAAAATGCAGTGACTTTGACAAATTATCCTCATGATGTAATTGTTTCCATCATGAACCAGTGAATCATCTAAAGCAGCTATTCCATAATCTATGAAGCGTCAAATCTTTTTAAAAACATGTTTTAACCCAGTTATCATATACAGTATTTTTGTGAATACCTCTAGAATAATATTTGAAGAGATTTGATTACAGTGTCAGAAAAGGCCCCTAGAAATAAGGATACACATTCTTTAATTGTAATTTCACATACCCTATTATAACAGTTGAGTCTCCCAGTTTTCATAAAAGGTTTGTGAACATCCCCTGTGGCTTTATTCCACTGTATTAACTGCCTTCAGTTAGTAGCAACAACCTGTTTTCTTTAATTCATCAGATGTGGGGTTTTTTCCTGTTATCAACATAATTCTTCAGTCTTGAGTTGTGGGTTTCCATTTGCAGATTGCCTGCTGCTGCTGTTCACTTTGTTAATATATGCATTACATGTTGATTCAGACTGGCATGCGCACTCAATCCTTACCAGAAATCTTAATATGAAAACCTTATCTTCAAATAAAAATTCTGTGTTCGGGATCTTAGGTTCTTATATCTGAGGTCTATTCTAAATTAAAAAAATATCTTTAAAATTAAAAACTTATCTATCAGGTTTTATCATATTATATATAATTTGCAATTTATCTTTTGAAATCTGAATACTTTTGTACATGAGAATATTTTCTTAAATATCAAATTCCACCTGTTTGGATTTTTATTGATGTCCTATGCAGTCTTATTATCTAGATCTCCCATTGAATCAATACATACATGTACTTATAATAAACCATGAAATTCAGTGATCAATATCACATATCACAAATACTGTCATTCTTTTAATTTACTGGGCACCACAAGTGAACTAATTGCATTCTATGGAGGTGCTTCTCACCAGGCTAACAACAAGACACTTGGATGGGCGTCTTTCACAGTCAGTGATGTTCCGAATATATTTGTTCAAAATTCAACAGACCTTTTATAACTGGCTTCACAATTCCTATCACTAATTAGATATAGTGTCACAGTATTTTGCCTAATTTTTAACAAATCCAAAATCTCACTGGGTAATTTTGCTTACTTTTGAAGTTTAGGTAATTTTAAAGTGCCTGTGAAATGGCTGCTATTTTCACGCATAAAATTATCCATTGATACATAAATATTATTAATTTTTATGTTTCTAAGCATGAAGTATTTTTTTAAGTGAAAAAAATGTGTTTTAAACTCAATCTACAGCAACTTTATTTTTGTGTATTTTAAAACGAGGCTCCTCATTAGCTTCTTATTTGCATACAGAAATTCCCCTTGTGACGTCAGAAGGGGAAGTCGCATGGCAGCTTGCATTGCCGATACGTGTAAATAAGCAAATTTCTTGTGCAGTTTCTCGTCTTTGACTAAATTATCACTTATGTACTTGTTCGTCGAGGAGGAATG